TTAAATATAACCAAATTTATTTAGAAAATCGTATCGATCCAACAAGTTCAACCGATTGGTGTTGATTCAATAGCAAATATTTTATTCAAGTGAACTAGACTGATTATAAACTTGTTCACGGTTTATCCGGTCAGACTGTGTCCAACACGGTTTAATTTAAAAACGATGGGTGAATCTTGATTAATTTATTTGTATATTTAATTTATAATACAATAATAATATTATTTTCCCGTGCATCGCACGGGCCACGCACTAGTATATATTTAAATAGTATAACACAAGCGATTAATGGTAAAGTTTTTATAGCAAGTACCATATTTATTGATCAATTCATGCAAAAAATCATAGTTGACCGCGTGTTATTCCAAAAGCCCATAGTTGCAATTTGTAAGATCCCAAACACTAAAAAATAAATTAATATTTATCACACAGAGATTAATATTTAAATTAAAAAAAAAAAGGAATTAATATCAATAAATGTTTCTACACGAGGAATACATAATAAATTAAATACACCAACTAAACCAAATCAATTGGTTACAATTTGAAAGCTATACACTGAGACTTCCAATACACAGCAACTAAGAAGTACCCTGCTATCAATCCTCATGTCCAGTTAAATATCCCTCCCTAAGTAAAAACTCACAAAAAATAAAATAAAATAAAATTTCCATTTTTATACTGCTAACTGGTAAAAAAAAAGGTAACAAATCCCTTTAAGAATCGTAAGTCCTTACCGAACCCCTTATCTGCTGCCTGCAAACGGGACACTTTGGCGAGGAGTCGCGCTCGACCATCAATGCACAGCGCTGGCAGCAGACGAGGTGCCCGCATGGGATGAAGGCCGATCGAAGGCCGATCGCCGCATTCTCAGCAGGCAGACAGCACACAGCTGGCCATCAGGAACTTCACCTGATTCCTCGTCCAATGCTGCCACCTCAGCATCTGACGGGATATCCGCGGAGTTGTCTACCTGTCGGGACCTGCGTGCTTTCCATTTCACCCAGTTTCTGCACACAAAAAGATAGATGTGTGTGTGTTTTTGTGTGCGTGTGTTCATGTGAGAGATAAAGTGAGGTTCTGATAATCTTAAGGGGGTGACTGGTAGGCGACAAAACTGGTTTTGATCGATCATAATTTGAGTTACCCACTTTATTAACTCAAATCTAATTCAAATTTAACTCAATCTCACTATCATCAATATTATCAATTATATTGAACAATATCAATCATCTCCTACATCACATCAACTTTAATTCACTATTCACCCACTCACATATTTTAATTACACATATTTTAATTACAGATAATGCTCACCTACCCACGGTGGGCATGTGTTAATATGCCCACCACTTACGTGGCATGCACACACTGGTGATGTTAATATGTTCAAAAAATACATCACCAATGTGTGCATGACACATAAGCGGTGAGCATATTAACATATGTCCACCGTGGGTAGGGGAGCATTCCTCTTTTAATTACCTATCATTTTCATCATCTCTCCTCTACTTTTACTTTACATCAACTTTAACAATTATAATTTAAATATTATTTGATTACAATATCTTTCATCTCACTCAATCAGCTTTATTCAAAATAACTCAAAAACTCACTTTAACTCAGGATCTAATTTTGATCGATTTTTACTGTTTTGACTACCTACCAGTCATCCCCTAAATGTTCATTCACGCAACTTTTCAATATCTTTCTAACAAGAAACAACATGCTTCGATTTTTTGCAGAGATAAATAGAGCTGCAAAAAGAAGTCTGATAATGCCTGCAACTTTACCAAGGAAAATGTAGAAACAAAACCCGAGTACAGAAAATGGATTCAGCTATGTACCTTGCAATGCAATAACCAAGGATGCCAATAGCTACAGAACTGAAAACCAGCCCGCTCCACATCAGCACATTACGCTTGGTTGAAAGTTCGGCTACCATTTGATCTTTGTTCAAATCGGACCTACAAACACAGCCAACTACAGTTAGAGATCCCATGAAGTCTCCTAAGCTACAAGAACGAGAAAAACAAGAATTTCACAGTGTTAGAAGAATAAGACAAAAAATGCATAGTCCTTTTAAGTTGGAAGAAAAAAACAAACACCCCACCCCCACGCGGGGTTTCAGAGAGACAACATCACGAGAATTAAACAGAAAGAGTTGACCATTGTTATTGAAAGCAAAGATGATCTTGCAGTTTCGATACTTTAACAATCGAATTTCTGGAAACGGAAAGTAACATACAGAAAATAAGGAAGATCTTCGCACGATTTGATCTCAGGAATCCCATCTTTAAGATTGCAAACACCGACAGCAGTGATATCCTTCCCCAGAGGAAGTATTTTCTCTTCATGAAGTAGCCCAACCTGAAAGAATAGTTAAGTTTAGACATGGACAGATGAAAATCGAGTATAAAAAATTATTATCACAGAGGGATTATGTAAAAAGCATGAACTAACGGGATACTCAAGACCCAGAAGAGCCTGAAGAAAAGTGTAAGGAGAAGAATTAAGAGGCTGCACGTCGCTAAAAACAGTAATAAGTGGCAGAGGATGCTTTGACCCTTCCATGTTGACAATAAGATAATCAGAGTGATGTGGTTGTTTTTCCCCCTCCACAAGGATGAATGGAACCTGAGGAGAAGAATGCCATGCACATTATAACATTATTGATCACTGTTCAGTAAATAATTTATACTAGGAGATAACAAATTCATTAAAAGTACAGATTCTATATGGAGGATGTATTGGAAAACATTTTCAAAATATCAATCCAATTTCAGTAGTTGGCCAGAAAGACAATAATTTGGTCCAGACTTCCAGTATATAAAATATTCTCATAACCATCCGCAAAATGATCTAATTAATTAGAATCCTGATATGTTCACAGAATCTGATGATTCTAGCATTCTACAAGATAAGTAACAATTTCAACTAATGATTATGGTATGATAATGATGCAACAAATGTGCAGATAAGGCAAATGAAATGAAAATAATAAGTCAAAAGATATGACTTAATCAAGATAAGTTGCTTTCCCTGACATCAAATATTGTGCCTCCTTGCACATTTTCAAACGAGAAATTAGCTTTTACTTTTCTTCAAATTCATAAAAATCCCACATTATAACATATGATACTAGGAGCCAGAAGTGAATCTTCCATCAATGTAGTAACTTAAAAGTGAATATTTTCATGACTGTTCAGATTATAAGAACTTACCATTCTTATGGAGGAAGACCCCTGTGGTTTCAAGGAATTTGAGAGCAAGGACCGTATGTCATTGGGCCACCGAAAGATGCCCCTCAACTCATGGTATATACACTAAGAGACAAACAGAAAAGGGATAAAATTACCAAGTGAAAAAATCAATCACATCTCAAAAGGTTACTGATGAAGATGCATCAACTTAGCCCTGTCCTCAAGTCAGGAACATATTTTTACTAGCTACATGGAACTGGCAGGACGGAGATTCTATATACCTAAGAAACCGAGCAATAAAAGAACTTCAATTAGTTTCATGAACAAAGCAGAAGAGAAGTACAGACTGTAAGAACTAAATTTATTTATATCTGCACTCTGGTTTTATTAGAAATATTTATTTCACATCAGGACATTGACAATGAATTTACGCTTCACAATAAAATTCTTAGAATCTTCAGTGCTAGATTCAAAACATTTAATCCAAAGTAACATGTAAAACTCAATCCATGCACCACATATAAGTTCAACAACCAGTACCAAGCAGAAATGTGACAGAAACCACCAACAGAATCCTAGGTCAAAATCAAGAAGACCCAATGTTTCAGGGAATTCGGTTCAATTGATGTGACATGCATAAGCTGAAGAGGACAACGCAGAACCAAATACCCTATTTCCTTACAAAAATGCAGGAAGCATATGTTTGAATCTTTTTTCCTACAGTAACCCTCTTGATTGAGCCATGGACATTTTGTATGATTATCTTTAGTACAAGTATGCATTTTGAGTAATAAACTAAGGTTGTCTAACCGCATTTGTGTGTTTTGGTATCACATAAGGCAGAATAAATGGCCTTTATAAAGAACCAAGACAACTATGAAATCTAGATGGTGAAAGTTCTCCAGGTGAATTGGGTACATAAAAATCGATTCATTTGGCTCATGAATAGCTGAAGAAAAACTGTTCCTCTCTTTTCCTCAAGGCGATTTTGCTCCGTTTTCCCGATAATATCCAAAAATCCATACTGATTTGAAACATTGCAATTCCAATTTCATATATTTTTTTCTCTATGACCAAGCTTACGACAAAATATCCGCAAAAAAACATCAAATTATGAAAATCAAATAAGTAGCTTCAATTTTCTTTCCCTATTACCAAGCGTACAATCAATTATTCGCAGAAAAACATCGAATTATGAAAATCAGACTAGAAGTAGCTTCAATTCTACTCTGCACAATCACAACTCTAACAAGTGGGATAATGTAAAGGCATCGATTAAAAAAAATGGTGGGGAAATATAAAGGCGTGAAAAAAGATAAGGTCAAAAAGGAAAATGGAGCATACAGTGTAAACTCGCTCGAGGAGAACGCCCTCGTCGCCAGTTTCCGGAGACACAACCAAGTTACTGCCTTCTATACTCTTCCAATTCCCCTTCTCCACGGCAGATTTCACCTCGACCGTACCCCTGACGACGACCAATTTCCCACCGTCGGAACACGAAACGGAAGAGTCGGATTCATCATAGCCTCTGGAACCATCTCCGTCGAAAAGCACGGAGCGGATGTCGGAGGGTTCCACCGTCGGCGCCTGGCGGATTTTGCGTAGGGCCGACGACGTGGAAGAGTACTTCCGAAAGCTGCAGTACGCCGCATATGAGATACCGAGGCCAAGCATCGCGCCGTCCGCCGCCATGAACAGATGCCCGACTATCGCCGCCGTCACGCGATCGAGCATCGACATGGCTTTGCCCACAATTCTTACCGGAATTGTTTCTGTGAATTAGTGTGTGTGAAATGTGAAATTTTCTCGCTTTTTTTTTTTTTTTTTTTTTTTTTTTTTTTTTTTTTTTTTTTTTTTTTTTTCTACTTATGCGGTTTATTTTCCATATTTTGTTATTATTTTGTAAATGGGCTTCTTTTTCTTACTATTGGGCTTGGGTGACAAAATCTATGAGAATACTAATATACTTCGGCCCAATTAAATTTGAGCCTATATAGTTTCTTTACTATTGGGCCTGGATGACTAAAATATTACATTACATATATTATAAAAACACTAAATAAGCTATTTTTGTAATTAGGAGAATAAAAATGTGCAACATGTGTTATTTATAGGATTAAATGTCTAACTCACACGTTTAAGGTTAAATCGTATAAACTAAATCAGACGTACAAACTCCGATGCTTATGTAGTAACTGAATTGAGTCGATGATTTAATAAAGTAAATTTACATGTTAGGAAAATTTTGTCGCTTATGTAGTAACTGAATTGAGTCAACGATTTAATAAAGTAATTTTGCATTTTAGGAAATTTTTGTCAAACGGACAGACAAACTCTGACGCTGAAGTAGTAAACGAATCGAGTCAAAGATTTTAAAGAAATTTTACATTTTGAGAAAAAAATGTATACCTTCGACGCTTAAGTAGTATCGAAATTGAGTCAAAGATTTAAACGATTTTGCATATAGGGAACTTGCATTCGTAAATATTTAAAAAAATATATATATAAATAATTTTATTCTATTAACATAAAATAACTAATTAGTATTGTGTTACCATATTAATGATGATTAAGTCATATTTATAAAATTCAAACATATAGCTGGCATAACTCAAATTTGCTCAAAAAATAATCTTATATACAGAGCTCACATAATCTGATAAGGTCAACTGCATATAGTCGATGATCCAATTCTCCAACTTCATATATACAATTTACTCAAATTTGATTGACTCATATTTTATTTGATTTTGTAAGTTAATTTAATTGATGTAATATCAAATTCTAAATACCTTAAATAATTCGAAAAATATATTCATAAACATATATGTACTACATTTTAATTATGATCATAATGTAAAAAATATGACATAAAATAGTATAATGTAACTAAACATTATAAAGAATTAAGAATAACACGAATGTTAGCTCAAACAAATGAAATAAGTAAAAATATAACAATGTTTTAAGTATATATGAATAACCTATATTATAAACTAATTTCTATCAAGGTGGGGTATATAAATGTTGTAAAAAAAAAAATTACTATAATGATAACAGTTATGTTGAAGGTCAACAAAAAGTGATTGTTTACAAAATAATTTACTCACTTTTATTTCAACTCAAAATCTAACTCAATTTTAATCTAACACCACTATCTTTAATATTATTCATATAATTAAATAATACAAACAAATCATTCTTACACATCACATCAACTTTAATTTACTATTCATCCACTCACATAATTTTAACTACCTATCATTTTCAATCATTTATCTCTTACTTTTACATCAAATCAGTTTAAATTATTTTATTTTAAATATTATTTTAATACATTTTTAAAATTCCACTACAATTAACCATACTACCTTTTTCAAAATTAACTATAGTTAACCAAAATAACTCAATTTGAACAAATTAATTCATAAACAATCAAGTCCTTATTGTAAGACTTGACTTTTTGTATTGTGTCAAAATAAGGTCTGAATTTTTAAGGGGGTGATTGTCTATAAATTGAATAGTAAAAAAACTAATCAAAATTCAAATTTAACTCAACTTTAACTCAACACCACTATCTTCATTATTATCAATATAATTAAATAATATCAATCAATTATTCTTACACATTCATTCACTCACATAACTCTAACTAACTATCACTTCCAATCATTTTTCCCACTTTACATCAAATCAACTTTAATTATTTTATTTAAATATTATTTTAATATATCCACTAACAATTATTCATACCATCTTTTTTCAAAATTAACTATAGTTAAAAAACAAATCAAATAAAAACTAGTTCAATCCATAAATAACAATGTTGCTATAAAACCAATTGGATGGTTCCCTTAGACTAGGCTTATCGGTGACCCAACCTAATGGGTCACCAGAAAAAAGACAAAAAACTAAAAAAAATAAAATAAAATAAAATAAAATGGAAAAAGGCAGTAATTCTCGCGACCCAGGTCACAATGTGACCTTGGGTCGCAACCGGCCGTTTCCTTCTTTTTGTCTTTTCTTTCTTTTTTTTAATTCAATTATTGGACACATGTCCTTTTTTAGTTGAAAGACAAAATTTTAATTTAATAAGACAAAGTAAACTCAATTATTGAGTTTATTATATATTAAAAAATAAATAAATAATATCAAAATTCGTATTTTTTTATTCTCTATAAATAGAGACCACTCTTGATATGTTTCAGATCACAATTGAAATTTCTCTCTTTTTATCTTTTTCTTAATCGTACCTTATTAATTTTATCATCTCCCTTATTTATATTAATTTCCAACAATTTTTTTTGTTGTATGTTAAAATATTAATTTTTTGAAATCAATATTTTTAATTATAATTTTTTTAATTAATTTATCACAACTAAACCATAACAAAAATCTATTGAGATAATATTTAATAAATAAAAATAAAATAAATAGTATGTTGAGTTGGATTGGGTTGGGTTACGGATAAAGATATGTAAGTTGTTAAAAGTTGAATTGTGTATGTGGAAGAGAGAGAAATAGTTTTTTATTATTAGGTTGGGTTGGGTTGGGTTGGGTTGGGTTGAGTTGGGTTGAGGATAAAGATAGTCTTATGGAACCAACACCCAATTAGACACCTCCACGTGGGGCTGTCCCACATGGAGCAAAATCATTGGGTGTTGGTTCCATAAGGGAACCAACTAGTTGGTTTTATAGCAACATTGCCATAAATAATCATATTTTCATTTAAAGGTTTTAATTTTAATTTATTCTCAATATAAGACCTACTTTTATATTCTACTTTTCAGTTTAATACTACAAATCACTTTGTGTTTTGATATAATTATATGAAATT